TGCGACCCTTCCCTCCAACACAGTTCCTCATGTTGTGGTGACCCCAACCATAAAATTACGTTTGTTGCCAGTTCAAATACTATAAATATCTGTGTTTTGCGATGGTCTTGGGTGACTCCTGTGAAAGGGTCATTCAACCCCCAAAACCACTCATCTAGAGGGCTTTCCTCATGTGTTAATGCCTGGGATCATCAGGGATGGCTGTTCACTTAAAGGATACCTGGGCATGTCTGCACTGATATCCAGTGAGGGAGTGGTGCGAGCAGCTCTGAGAGAAGTAGCCTGGCTCTAGCAGGTCACAACCTTCACTCTGAGAACAGGACCAGCATCAACGGGGACAAGAGAGGCTTAAAGATGAGGGCTTGAGAAAAAAAGGGATGGTGGCTCAGTCTTAAGCCATGCTGAGGGAATTCTAGGCAATTCCTAAGGCAGAGGGGACTGGAAGCTTTATGAAGACAGAAAGAAAGAGTCATGTACAAAGTTTAGCTGAATTTATGGAAATGGCAGCGGCAGCTACAGAGTAAAGGAAGGACGCTATAGTCTTAAAGAAATCAAGGTTGCTGATCCTTGAAAAGGGAAAAATATATTTCCTATGAAATATGTAAAGCAGAGAAAAGAAAAGTTAAATCTCAAGAACGATTGAAGCAAGCAGCTGAGCCATCTGCCAGAGAGAGATGCCTCTTGCCCCTTGTCACCTGTGGCAGGCAAGAAAGCTGGCCTTGCCTCTCACTGGATGCAGAAAAAAAGAGCAGGCCCTGGTGGCATAGGACCAGGTGAGCCAGCCCTGAGGTCATGAGAGCTGGAGAGCTGGGTCTACCCTTTGCTGGCTGCAGCATTGGGCAAGCTAGCTAAGGCAGTGCCAAAGAGCAAACCCTGGTGGTGTGGGTGCAGTAGAGTTGGCAAGCTGACCAACTTAGCTACCATCAAGGCCCAGATCCAGGGCCATGAATTAGCCCATTCCAATGTCTACCCCACCTAGGAACTGCTGGAGCATGTGAAGGGGCAGGTCCTGGAGATCCATGCAGAATCTCCATGACACAGGGAAACAACAGGATGTCTGAAAGGTGTCCCTGTGAGGATCCAGTATTGATAGTGTAGCTGAAGCCAGAGACCTTGAACTAGACCTATGACTCACTGTAATGAACATTTGTAAGTAAAGAGGTACAGACAAAAGGGTATACTGTGGGACACACTACAGCTTCCACTATGAGATTTTTGTTGTTGTTTTGCTTTCCTTTTGTAGTGGAGGTTGCAAGGGCAGAGGGCAGATACGAAAGGATGGAGAGATGAGTGAGACTGGGGTGCATGATGTGAAATTCACAAAGAATCAATACAAAGTTTAAAAAAAACCCCACTGAAGAAGCAGCATCTTTCTATATGAAGAGGAGAGCAGTTATTTTGTGGGGGACAGGGTTATCTCTATGCAATACTGGCTGGACTGGAACTTTCTATATAGACCAGGGCAGCCTCAAACTCATCAAGATCCACTTGCCTCTGCTTCCCAAGAGCTGGGATTAAAGGTGTGCGCCACAATGTCAGACTGAGAACAGGTTTTTATTAGATTATAAACCTAATGAAAAGATCTCATTATGGGAGATTCAGCTGGAAGTCAGCAAGAGGTCATTAAAACTGCTGGAGCTGGAAACACATGTCAGTTGGTGGAGTGCTTGTCTGGCGCGATCAAACCTGTAATCTCAGCACTTGGAAGGTGGAGGCAGGAGGGTCAAGCTCTAAGTCATGCTCAGCTATACAGTGAGCCAGCCTGGGCTACACGATCCTCTTTTTTTTTTAAAAAAAGAAAAAAAAAGAAAGAGGGAGGACTTATAAATAGTGGTGCATATCCCATTGGAGATAGAGAACAATGAAAATTGGGATAGATGCGACTACCTCCCTTTTGTGACTTATAACAGATACTAAAAGCAAAGGAAACAGACATTGGTGGCGTCAGAAATGGAGACCAGAATAATGAATGCACAATACAAACTGTCCAGAGACAGGAAATTCTAATAGTGTTGGGAAAAGCAATGCTAGAGGCAGGCTCTGAGGTCTACACTGGGAAATGAGGTAAACAGAACTGGAAAGACACTAAAATGGCTTGGAAAAAATGGATTATAAGGCTCAGACCAACATGAGGAAGAGAGGTTTGGAGGAAATAAGATAGAAGAGGGGATGGGGCGTCTGCCATCTGAGGTGGTACGTGTAGGTCTTGGTAATAACCAGGACGGAGCAATGCTGTTCACTTGTCAATGCAGGAACACAGTCCAATGGAAAAGGGAGCACGGGCAGCTGTGACGAGGAAGAACTGGCTCATAAACTTATGTCCTTAGTTATGGGGACAAAACTAGGTAATTAATAGAATTTATGTAACAAAAGCAAACTAATGGAAGAAGAAGCCAGCAAAGGAGCACATACTGATATAAACTCTAATGAACAGGCTGTCGAACCTCCACCACAGGCTCATCCAAAAGAGCCTATCTCAATGCCTGACAGTGTGTTACAGTCTCCAAGTACTCAACAAGTAACAGTGGAAAGGAGTGTCACCCACTTACGAATCACCTCAGTCATTTCTTCACGTAACTCACAGTTGTTGAACACTAGTGGACTTCTAGGCACAGGAGAAGGAATGAACAGCAACTGATAGTTATGCAGCTCTTCCAACAGCAAGACGCAATTCCAGTTTGCACTGGACTCCTTGGAACTATCACAATGATGCTAAGGGAGAGGTATTGTCATGGTCCTCATCAGAACTCAATCAGAGAGGTCAATGATAATGAGCCAATGCTAAGCCATTGCACTGGGCTACAAACCAGAAATTCCAGCTCCAGAGTGAGGCTCTTTACCACACTCACCGCCACTGAGAAGACAGTCCTCTCGGCTCAAAGGAACACTCCATATTTCTAAATGGTCTATCCTCTCTACTTACTAAGTTTAAAAAACACAAAGAACTTTCATATTACATCTGTTTTTAAGATGCCAAAGCTATCAAAATCTAAACCATCTCCAAACATGTAAACTCTCTTCTTACCAAACTCTAATTCTGATCCTAACATTGGATCAAAGTTGGTACCTGAATGTAAGGAGTTACCTAGCAACAGAAGTTCCGTGTGCTTTTAAGACAGCAGAGGCACAGCACTCAGGAAATAGAGACAGGAGGATCTAGAGTTCAAAGCCAACATAGGCTACACAGCAAGAACCTGCCACCACCAGCCTGCCAAAAATACTTGTGAATTGTGCAATGACTATGGAATGCACAGGAAGGAAGGTCCTTGTACTTGGAGGATGGGGGCTTGTTGTCATATGCTCTGCCAAAGAGGACAGTTCTGAGCTAAGCTGTGAAAAGGGGCAAATGACATTGGGTGTGAAGGAAGAACATCATTCAGAAGAATGTAGAGGCCAAAAAGCTTTAAAGTGTGTTAAGGAAAGTGAGCAAGTAAAAGCACTCCATGGGTTTGCCTGGGTCCGACGGCAGAGGCTCCAAGGCTGAACACACACGAGACACTTGAATGTCAGTTTAGCCAGGCAAGCCAAAAATCTTGTCTGTCACATTCAACATAATTAAATGTAAAACAGCTATCTTCTAAGTGGACCAGAAGCCTGTCCAAAGTATGCAGTACTATATATGGAACTACCTAAACTAAAAAGAAACTGGTAATAATCATGAAACTGCTTTTAAAAAGCATACAGCAGAAAGCATATGACTATCTACCAAAGCTATCCAAACCTTCCACTCCATATTCATTGTCTCCATCCCTTAATAACCACATCATCAAGTGCTCTTTTCTAAGCCTCTGCTTGAACTCTCAGCATGTAGTAATAAGACCTGAGATGAACCTTACCAAGTCAAGACAATTTCTGGTGTAAGACACAGAGTAAAAAGAAAGTGGTCACAAAGTACTGGTTTTCTACAATTCAAGCCTAAAAATAAAACAAAATCCTCTAACTGCCAGAAGCTCCTTAGCAGCTCGGCATACACAAGCATTTTCTCTATGCTGCTACAGAGGCATGTCCTGCTTCTGTTACTCACCTTGTTCTGTTTCCTATCCAAAGCCACTAGAGCATGGGTTGGGTGGAGACTTCTTCTATTAGCAATGTGTTTCTCCAGTACATCTCAGTTCCATGACTAAGAAATTCTGATTGGTTACCATCAGACACATGACCGCAGTTAAAGTGAAAAGCACTCTATTAATTTTTTTTAAAGACAGGATCTCAGACTGTAACCCAGGCTGGCCTTAAACTCTTAGTGATGCTCCTAGCTCAGTCTCCTGAATGTTGTCACCATCAGCCACTGTACGTGTCACTGTTACTGACTGTGGACCTAGACTTCCTACAACATGAGGCTGAAAACCCTGCCACCAGTCTCACTGCCACAAAGGGAAGACCCACCTGAACATAAGCTCTACTCAGAATAAACCAAATCTGCAAACAGATGGAAGTCTGAGGCCCCATTAATACTAAGTACAAACTTCACACCTGGCTGGATTTTTCATTTTTCTTGGCTCATTTTGTGGTGAGTTCACTTTTTTCCTAATTGATATTAACCGTGTGTATGTGAGTGTGTGTGAGTGTGTGAGTGTGTGTGTGTGTGTGTGTGTGTGTGTGTGTGCGTAGTAATAGCCAAATTCTATTAACAAGGAAGTGAGGTAAACGTCTCAGCACTTATTAATTACTATGTCTAACTCTATAATCTGGTTTTATCGATAGTCCAATATTGATACAAAATATTTAAAAATGATTCTGGCACATTTTAACATAGCATTTCGCATTCAAAACTGCCTTACACTGTCTCCATTCCTGTTTTTTTTTTTTGTAAAGAAAAAATCAATATTTTACCGCACAGAAAACAACAACAACAAAAAAGCCTTTAACTTTATTATGTAGCACTAAAAGACAAGAATAATCAACTCAGAAATTAAGAGTTCTCATCGAATTACACAAGTTATTTAAAAAACAACCCCCTCCCCCACAAAAGCAAACCACAAACACCATGTAAAGCCTCTTACTTGAAGCTGAAGAGTATGGCGAAGAATGGTTTCTTCTAAGGCATGGATCCACTTCTCTCGCTCATCTGCATCTCGAGCTAGAACAAAACATTAGAGGTCAATGTGTCATTTCTTTCACAGGCTCATCTTAAGGAAGCATCTGATTTCTTACACAGATCCAGTATCTAGGCAGAATTACAAAAATACTCAATAACTGTAACAAAAGGAATAAGTATGCTTAGTAATAGATTACTTAAGCCCCAGACTGACATTTTTATGGGGAGCAACCAAAAAAGCTGGACTGTTTAATTTTTAATTGCTTCATTAACAGATGAAAGGGTTATAAAACGTGACACATATACACACATATTCCACAGAGTAGAATACCATTCAGTCATTAACAAAAATAAAAACCATTATTTGTGGCAACAGAGACGGAATGTGTGAAATAAGCCAGGCATGGACACATAAGCACCATACAGTCTCCCTTGTACTCTCCCGATACAGTGGAAGTCACAGAGGTGGATAGGAAGGTGCGGTTGTGTGAGGGTTCGTAGATTGTAGGGGTTGGGGAGGGGATGGAGAAAGGGCAGCTTGGTAGGTACTAAGTGTGAGAGGCTGCTTAGAGTGGAGTGGCGAGGGAAGGTGGAGAAAGGGGCAGCTTGGTAGGTACTAAGTTACCTTAGCCAGAAGCAAGCAGCTCTGGGGAGCTGTTGCACTGATGGGTTACTCAATATCAACAGCTAAAAGAAAGAACTGTGAAAGCTTTTACCATAGAGAAGTGATTGTGAGCCAGGTGGTGGTGACG